GAGAATGTTTGAGCTCTGGTCTCCCAGAGTTAGTTGTTTTTCTTCATGCGACTTATTTTCAGTTTTGTTTTTCTTGTGTTTCAGCGGCACCAAGGTTCAGATTGCAGGTTATGGACCAGCACAGGTTGGCCTTCTTAACAAAAGAAGTGAGATGAATGTTCATGTTTCTCATTGTTTTTGTTATTACCTCAAAATGATTCGGATGATTCAAATCAGTTTTTAGACTCTTTGCTGACACTGAGCTTAGCAAGCTAGTTGAAATTTTGATCATCAAAAACTCTGAGATAAACTGCTTAGAGCTGAAATAGTAAGTTTTAACAAACACGCATTACAGCCAGGTCCCTCCCTCCAAGTGAACAGCATGTACATGAGCATTGATTGACAGCGCTAAGACCCTCCTCTCGGCTCTGGTTGGTTGTTTTTGACCTGGAGTGGTGTATTTCTGCAGATGGCTAGAAAAAAAGAGAGGAGGTGGAGGAGATCAAGCTTTTCATAAATTATCTGTCTCATATTAACCATCAGGACATAGTGACAGTTTTGATACAAATGTAAAAAAAAAAACATTTTATACAAGTAACATCCTGCACTTTAGTAACCTCAGATTACAAGGTGATGTCCTGAGCAAAATGTGTCAACTCTTAAACAGACGTTACAGGTTTATGCTGTTTTTCTTCTACAGTCAAACATCGTCCAAATGACCTTCAGTGTGCAGAGTTTAAGATTGGTAAACATGAAAAGTTGGAAGAGCTACTGGCAAAAGACAAGGACTTTGACTTCAGTTACCAGAAGTGGTACAGTGTGAGCAGCTCTAAGAAGGACACGTCAGTCTTTAAACAATTTTCTGCACAAAATTTAGACATTGTTTCTACGTTACTGGATAAGTCACAGCAGTAAAATAACAAAAAGATTTATGTTTGTGACAGGGTGACTCTGGTGGAGGATTTGTGTTCAAGAACAGGCTGTATGGCGTTTGTGTCTTCACTGGAGATCCACTGTATGCACTCAGTGCACCAAGTGCTTTCCTGGATGTCTGTGCCTACAAGAAGTGGATAGATGACACAATTAACCAAAAACCCTAGGTTGCTAGGTGTCTGTATTGTGGCGAAATGATCCCAGCACCATAAAATCACAAAG